GCACGGAATGAATGCCAAATGAACGTATCCCCGGGAAATATAAGGGGGCCGGGTTCCCAGAATGTTCTGCTTTTCTGCGGACTCGCATGATGTTGTATCACGTCTTATCGCAGGACAAGTTGGGTGTTGGCTTCAAGGAAGCCAGAAAAAGGGCGGGGCCCCTCTGCATCCGTACAGGCCGGTAGCAAGGGTGGCAAGTGTGACAATTGATGGGTAGTGTCAACGCGGTGGGAAATGTGCTTTGTTGCAGCAGTGCTGATGGTGTGAGAGCTAAGCTTGCACCGGTGGAATCGTCAGCACCGCCTGAGGGCTCCACGCGAATCGCATCCATTCCAGGTGCATGCCGCATGGACAGTGCGGCAGACCGCAAGTCGGAATGCCCGTGCGGGCAAATGGTAACGAAAGCTGGGTGAATTTCGGTGCTGTCTGTGATGTTTATCCCCGAAGCGCCAGCGGCCTCAGCAATCCGCCCCACAGCCACGGGCTTCATCGGGGCACACCGCAAGTCTCAGGAGGCCCCGTGCATTGGCCAAAGTAAATGTACAAACAAGCAGCTTGTGTATTTCATAGAGAAATGAAAGCAAATTATGTTGGCCTGCTGGCGGCAAGTCGGATTGCCCATGCCGGCAAATGGTAACACAAGCTGGGTGTTCGAGTTATCACACGCCGTCATCTCAGAATTCCATTGTGAGATACGCGGCAGCTCTCGGGATGAAATTTAGCGCGAGAGGCGTTGATGTGACTTTTGAGGTCGGTGAATGGAGGCAGCTAAACTTGTTTGTGCTCATACGATTTTTGTTGGCTACATGCGAGATACCTTGCAATAGAGAATGCTGTATAGTACCTATAACGCGTTTCAGCCGGGCGAGATATTATGTTTGGTCCGTTACACACACACGAACACACACACACACACACACACACACACACACACACACACACACACACACACACACACACACACACAGACACACACACACACACACACACAGACACACACACAGACATGGGCAATCCTACAGGTCGAGGCCCCCCTGGGCGCTTCGCGCTGGGGCCCCGCCCAAAAAGAACCGATCGGCGGATGTCAATCCCGTGATACCCAGAATACTTCACATGAATCCCAGCGTGCAGCTAGCTGAAGTGCAGGTCCTTAGTGCCCCTAAGTACTAGATCCATAACCTGTTATGAGGAGTGATTCCAGAAGGCAGAACCTGCTGCCTTGAAATTGCAGTTCGTATGGCGCAGTACAGTGTGGTAAATGGTGGATGGTGCTGTATGGTGTTCTATCCTAGATGACAATCCAAATGTGTGCAAATGGCCCCAGAAGCCTCCCACTCTGCAACAACAACTTGTATCATGGTATGCTTTCGCTTGAATAATATCCAATGATTTTTACATGTCCTCATAAATTTCTGGTCCAAACTAGAGTTAAAGCTAAATAATTTTCTGTGCAAATGGACCTAACCGAAGCAGGATAGTCAGTATGTATCATTATCCTATTTTTTATTATCCTATGTACTATAATCCTATGTATTGTTTTATATTATCATCCTATTCATGTTTATATGTTATCAAAGATAGCTTTCATGTCTGCTATCATGTCGTACATTTCCCCTTATCAAAGCGATTTACGTCACACCCTGTAAGGTGTCACCTATAGGTGATCAAAAATTAAAAAAATAAGCGAATAGGGCCCCCGGTCATTTTAGCAGCAGTTGATGCCAAAATTGTGCAAGCGGACTTCTGCTCTTAAGAAGCTTCATTTTTCCTATATCTTTGTGTGTGTGTGTGTATATTACATGGTTGGTTCCTGATCGGTCATGCTGCATAAGGAGCATGACAACGTTCATGACCATGACTATGCCTCATGACCGGTAGCATGCCCCCCCTATATGGCGCCCCCATGGATCGGCTAGACCCTATAGGAGCGATTAGCTAATCGCTCTAACTCCCATGCCAGAACAAACCCCGTGTTTATATTGAACCAGTGGCCGGTCGTGACACTTAGGCTCACGAAGTGGTATGTATATACAGTTATGCTCCCTAATGAGCTAGACGACCATAAATGGTAGCGTCAAAAGACTCCAGCCGTTTATGGTCTGTAGACAGCTGTCTATAGACAAGATTCATTGTATAAGAAATAAATCGTGTTACATAGAATTAACTTGAAGGTATGCCTTGAAGGGATATGTTGAAGGTATAAACGTTTCTATAAATTATGCAATATTGCATTAATGGTGTAACAGTTAGACCTGAAAATATATGGTCTGTAGACACTCCCTCATTTCACACACAGGTGTGATCACACCTTCATGAAGGTAAGAAACGTACAAGGATACAACATCCAGCATCCCCGCTGCATGAAAGCGCAGACTTAAGCCTGTTTGTGCTAAGCTTAGCACAGACAGGCACCAGGCGCGCGGAAAAATAAGCACTTACCTGTCCAGCAAGCCTACCTCGGCCTGGGCCCTTCCCTTCAGCATGGCAGGGCCAAGGTTGTGTGCAGGTTCGAACCTGGAATTCCCAGAAATTGTGTTCGGACAAATACCCGATTCGTTTGCCCAGCAACCAGCAGGTATTCGTGCACAGTCTGCTTGAATCGGCCTTTGCCCAACCTGCACGCAACGTAATCCAGGATGCGTTCAACTGTACATGTAGTAGCGCTGGCCGCTGAAAAGGCCTCTCGAGATGCTTCCAGCGCTGGTAGACGCGCTTAGCGCGTATTTGTAGTTATTATGTGTGCCGTACAATGTACTGGCTACTACATCAGTAGCATGCAAGACCTGCGTGCAAGATAGCGTATACATGGCAGTAAGTGCCAATGGCCTGCAAACCTGCAATCTATGTGATCTTGGCAGGCATGATGGTCTGACCAATGAAAGATGAGTTTCCCTAACTGATATCGATGTCCTGGAATTTACCTCCATTCCTACAAAACGGTAGTCACCTGATATGCACATGCTGATATCAGCATCCTACATCGATGTAGGATGTACCGACTATATACTGTCATATATATGTAAACGTTTGCATGTCACCATGAAAGCATGACAGGCCTACATGGAATGACATACAATTGCGCCCCTCCCCCACCCATAAGTGTGCTCTGCTGAACTCCTCCCTGTCCATTTCCTGGCAAGATGGTGTTCATTAACCGCGCCTCCTGGCCATCGGTTATCTCCCTTGACATGCATGCAGCCAGCCCACCCTCGCCTCCTCCTCCAGTGTCAGGTATGTTTACCCTTGATAGGTATACATACATACACGCAGGTCGGTGCTCCCTCAATATCTGTATCGGGGTAATTAGCAGGCTGGCTTGCTGTATGTAATAGCTGCCGTACAGTAAGGCACACACATCGTCTATAAATACACTCTAATGCATGCTGCTAGCATCTTGTGAGGCACTTTTAGTGGCCATCTACTGCACTTCTGGTTGCTTGCCCTACAGCTATAGGTCCTGTGGCAGATCAATCAAACACAGCAAGCAAGCCCAGTCTGAGATTGCTAAACAATCATAGCATGGTCTGAGTATATAAGGTTTGTGATCAAACCCTCAACCTGCAGATTCCTCCATTATGGCTGCCATGTACTTCTTGTGTAGCTTACACTCCGTATACGTCATCAATGACTATGTTTTGCAGATCATTATTATTACTACTATAATGCGGGCCCGGAGTTGCGTTCACCACCACCGCCACCCCCTGCGTCACCAATGCCACCACCGCCGGCTCCACCACCACGGCAGAGCCCACCAGTACCACAAAGTAAGGTTCTGCATGCGTGGGCGCATGTAGTAGATGTCTTACAATACGTGGGGAAACACCCTGTAGTATACTACGGGATTTTATTAAGAGGCCTTTTCGGTCGCCAGCAGCTACTCAGTGGGTATATATACACCACTCTCAATAGAGGGGATCACCCTTTTAAAAGGCACCAAACCGAATCACCTGAAATGCAAAGTGTTAATACCAAACCTACATACGAGAGTAAAGAAAGAGTAAAACGATCTAACTATGTTGCTTTGTCCTTAGCTTGCAGTGGCTCACAACTTCAGGCTGTTTTAACCAGCGAACTCATTACTCAGGTAGTAGTAGTTCTTACTCTGGGAACCAAGCTTAAGGGTTCATTCTATATTCGATTCACACTCATTCATTTTGACCCTTCAATCCACAACACTTCATTTTCAAATCGAGGGAATTTAACCATTTTGGAATATTCCAGGGGATTAATTCCCTTCTTTACAGAATCCCTATGGCAGCCAAACTAGGAGCTACGGCCCCCCCCTTAGAAACTGGACTAGTAGCTCCTCGTGTGGGAGCTACTGCCCCGCTACTGGGCCGCTACGGGGTACCAACGGGGTACCAACTGGGCCGCTACCTGTCTCAGGAGCTACTAGTCCAGTTGCTAGGGGGGGGCCGTAGCGCCCAGCCAGGCTGCCATAGGGATAGGATAGACCATGTATGGGTGGATTCATAATTTTACTGACTGACTGACTGACGGACGGACGGACAGCAGTGAACACCGGGGGCTCGGGCCCCCAATTGGCGCTTCTCGCCCGGGGCCTCAGGAAACACCGCATTATCAGCCCAGACCAACGCCCAAATTTGAACTGAGTTGTGCTGAGCCCACATATGCACATATGCATCATCGCATATGCTCTAACATGTACATCCTCATCAGACGTGCTGGCTCCCATTTCATGGCCTCCAACATGCCCTGTTGATTATCGAATCCCTCTTCTGCAAGAATATCGTTATAGGCTGGGCATTCCAATCACAATATTGTTTTACATCCTCGACTTGGCTATTGGTGCCACAACGTTGTGGCTGTTAACAGCGGCAAAACCGGTTTGCCTTACCCCTGCTCTATTTGCCTCCAACGCCCAGCAACATAAACAAAACTGTATTAGCTTAAGATGTGCTAAACGAGGAATTTTTAGTACTACGTGCTCATCACACTCTTTAATTAATATTTTGAATAATACATGCTCATCACACTCTTTAATTAATGCTGTATTTCGCACATTTTTCATGGCCGGCTGCCCTTACCACTGCTGGTAGCTTCACTACCACCACCAGCTCCACCACCACCGCAACCAGCTCCGGATCCACCACCACTGCAACCGGCACCACCACCGCCAGCTCCACCGCCTTCAAAGACGAATGGACCACCACCACAGCCACTGAGGCCGCCGGTAACACTTCCACCACCTCCAGCATCAAGTAAGGTCCTGCATATGTGGATGGGTGGAGTAGCTGCCATACCGTATGGTGCATATACTACATTTAGAATGATACCGGATTAAGTGCATTCCAAGCACCCTGTAATAATGCTCGTCACACTCTTTAATTAATGCTGTATTTTGCACATTTTTTATGGCTGGCTGCCCTTACCACTGCTGGTAGCTTCACTACCACCACCAGCCCACCACCACCGCCACCACCCGGATCCACCACCACCGCAACCGGCACCACCACCGCCAGCTCCACCGCCTTCAAAGACGAATGGACCACCACCACAGCCACTGAGGCCGCCGGTAACACTTCCACCACCTCCAGCATCAAGTAAGGTCCTGCATATGTGGATGGGTGGAGTAGCTGCCATACCGTATGGTGCATATACTACATTTAGAATGATACCGGATTAAGTGCATTCCAAGCACCCTGTAATAATGCTCGTCACACTCTTTAATTAATGCTGTATTTTGCACATTTTTTATGGCTGGCTGCCCTTACCACTGCTGCCAGCTTCACCACCACCACAGCCAGCTCCACCGCCACCACCAGCTCCACCACCACCGCGGCCAGCTCCACCACTGCCAGCTCCACCGCCTTCAAAGATGAATGGACCACCACCAAGTAAGGTCCTCCATGTGTGGGTGGGTGGAGTAGCTGTCATACCGTATGGTGCACATATATGTACATGTATATACAACATTTAGAATGATACCGGATAAAACGCACTCCTAGCATCCTGAGAGGCCTTTTTGGTGGCCAGCTACTACAGCAGGCGGGGTTACATGATGACTCTCAATAGCGATCTCTATTGAGCTCTCGAGAGGTAAAAGCATTTTCACTAAAAGCATTGAAGTTAGCTTGCAGTGGTGCAGAACCAGTAGGAAACACATTACCCAACCAGTAAGCCACGAAGCCTTCACTGCACCTGTCCTTGCAGGCGCCCAAACACACAGGCCTGTGATGCACTCGGGGAACGACTTGGTCATGGATGTGGTCATGCGGGGGGTTTCCTGTCATAGATCTGGTCATGTTGCCTCATGACCACTCATGAGGCCTCATGACCGGTCATGTTACCGGTCATGAGGCAGAGTCATGGTCATGACAGTTGTCATGTTCCTTGTGCAGCATGACTGATCATGAATCGCCACTCATATGTGTAAATTCAGTCATGTTCCCAATGGTCATATGCTGGCTATGTGTTCATGTTTTGTTCCTTTCTAAAAAATGACAATTATATGCCATATGGACTCCGGAATCCCTTCTGAAATGCTGCATAGTATATTACCGCTATAACAATGTGCACAATGTACTATACAGCATCCCTGCCGGGATTCTGGAGTGCACTTGAATTACCTTCGTTTCAGCCACTTGCAGTGACTTGATATGCATTCAGGCGCGGCCGTAAACAAAGCCCTTAGGCTTAGCTGCACTTATCCAACGCAAAAGATCAGTATATGACAGCTAGCAGGGCAACTTCCTTTTGGCCTGTTGCCAAGCCTTACTCGGTCAGCTCCCTTACAGGGTACCCTGTTGTTAATTTGAAGCCATATGTTACATACTTAAGGCATGTATTTAAGGTTTAATTAGCAAAGATTCTCTCCTGCTGTGTTCAAGCATGACAAGTTAAGTCACCAGCTCGCACAGTCCCACAGGCACAGCATTGTTGATGTAACTAGCTAAAACATGTGGGAGGTGCATTAGTCTCAACCGCAGGCGCGGCGGCGGCCATACTCCACCCCCTGTCTTTGCCATGACAAAAGAGCGTCCTATTCTATGGCAGGTTCTGGCCAGGATTTAAATGATGCAATCAACAAAGTTCAGTAGCCACGAAACAACTTCCCAAATTTGAATTTGCAGCCATGTGAACTTTATACCATGCTGTACACTTCCGGACCAGGGTCCGGAATTATACGGCTTTTCCCCTCTTGCTGCCCAGAAGTCATGTGATCGTGGACAATTTGCAGCACCAATAAGAAACGTCACTGCGTTTAGCACTATGTGATTGCTGTGCAAATGGCACCATCTGGTACCTCCCAGCCCCACCGCCGTCGCTGCCGCTGTTACTCCGTTGCTAATTCCCGCCGCCGCCGCGCCTGCTGTCGAGACTA